AGTCGCAGCAGCAGGTTCTGCCGTCCGAGACGCGCGATCACAGACGGCTCCTGGGTTTCTAGGCTTGGGCTTGGGGCATCTGGGCTGTGGCTGTTGGGCTAGGGGTTTTGTTCCCACTCCCAGCGGTTTGAGGTTTTAGGGCTTAGGTTGGGATGTAGCTCTTTTAATCAGCCCCGAGTTGAAGCTTTAAAGCTTCAGCTTGGTCGTGATGCGGAATGCAGGAAGCGTGCAATGGAGGATTCGAAACGCTTGAGATCTTGAGCACCCACAACCAAGATGTCAAGACGACTTGGAAAATATGCCCTATCGCGGCGAAGGCAGCTCGTCCACTTTGCTAGGACAATAGGATCTGAAAACGACTAAACATGGTCCCAAGTGTCGGATAATACGATCCGCATCAGGTTGCTTAGAAGCTTTAAGGGGGCCGGTGCAAAACAAGCTGCACATAAACAATTGTGGGAACACCATGCGGCTGTAACCTACTACATGTTAACTCCTCTGATCGTAAAAACCACGGAAAGAATGGCAAATCCATGACCTAGTAAAACCCCTTATAACCCAAGCCCCGACACCTGTGTAGCATTGGCTTGGCTTCACAAGCGGTCCTCGCTGACCACTTCGGCATCCGAAACGGGCAGCCGCGTGGAGAGAAGGTGGGTCTCCTTGATGCTTCTCAGCGATTGTTCGCCGAACCAGATTCTGAACCTCTACCCGAACAGCATATGCTACATATTATGCTGCGATCGCTTAAACAAGGATAGGTGGATGGATAGATCGATAGATAGGTAGATAGATAAACAGAGAGAGAGAGAGAGAGATATATATATATATATGTATATGCATCTACACGGGGTTTATGTCCATTTCTACAGTTTAGTCGGTTCTACAGGTTTCAGAGGAGTTGCGGGGTGCTGTCGGGGTTTTGGGACAGGGTGGCAGGGGCCCGGCAGATGCCTGGCAACTTGGTGGGATTGAGGGCTTAGGGTCTGGGGTTTAGGGTTTTAGGGTGGCGAAACAGGTATGGTTTGGGGCTTTAGGGTCTAGGGTCTAGAGTTTAGAGCTGCGGGAGAGTATGCAACCCCAAACCCGGAGCTTCTATAACTATAAATCCCTTATGGAGCCAGGTAAACCCGTTGTAGAACCATGAACCTTAAACCATGAACCCTAAATCCGTTTTAGGGTTTAGGGGTTTAGGGTTAGGGTTTAGGGCTTAGGTTTAGGGGTTTAGGGTTTAGGGTTTAAGGCAAAACAAAAACCCGAAACCCATTTTCTGAACCCTGTCTCCTGAACAACGGAGTCGTCCTCCGAAATCTCGAAGATCCTAGGTAGTATTAGGGAGACCCCTTAAAGGGGACCCTTGTGAACCCTACTTGTAGCTCTCTTAAAGGGGACCTTATTGAGAGGGTCTATATCCCTCTCCCTAATCCTCCCAGAAGAGAGGCACATCCCTCGGCCGATGCTTCCGTCGTCCCCACGCTTTGGGGTCGCGTGGTCTCCGAAGAATGCCCTGACGAAAGGAGAACCGAGAACTTTCAAGGGGGTTAAGGGTTTAGGGGCTTGGGGTTTACGGAGTTGGGGTTTAGGGGTTTGGGGGTTTTAGGAATTTTAGGGTTTAGGGGGTTTGGGGTTCAGTGGTTTGGGGGATTTGGGAATTTTTTTGGGGTCAAGCGTTTATTGTTTACGGGTTTAGGGGTTTAGGGTTGAGATTTAACTCGATGTTCGGCTGAACTAATTGGCAACCTATGGCAGGATCCTAGTAGACTCTCAAAAACAGCACCCTTGTTTGAGAAGGCCTGCTTCGGTACACTGCAACATGCGAAACTGGCCTGCACATACCTAGCACGAAGAGCTGGACGACTTGAACAGGTTAGTCGTTTTAAGGGTTTAGGGCTCGGGGAGGATTTAGAGTCTTGGGGTTTGGGGTTTTTCAAACGTAAGAAAGAAGAGATGGTAGCCTTCTAACGAGGGACATCGGCCTCAAACCCTAAACCCTAAACTCTAAACTCTAACCCCTAAACCTAAACCCTAAACTCTAAACCCTAAACCATAAACTCTGAACCCTAAACCCGAAACGCTGCCGCAAGAGGATCAGCAGCTTGATGGCCAAGCAGAATGCCTACCCTCCGGCGAACCCCCGGAAGATGCGACTGGGCTTGTGCTGAAAGGATTCTGGTAGATAGCGGCTTCGTAAAGGCGCTGACAAGGTTCTTTCTATAGGGGTTTTTAGGGTTTAGGGTTTAGGGTTCGTAAGGGCGCTGACAAGGTTCTTTCTATAGGGGTTCATTACACGATATATCGTTTTTATCTAGGGTTCTATAAGGACATTGTGAGGATGTTGAAAGGTTTACTGCAGAGACATGCGTGGTATCTTTTCTATGGTAACTTTAGTTAAACCCTAAACCTTAAACCCTAAACCCTAAGCCCTAGTTTTTGCTCTTTGACACGAGCTGAGGAGGATCCTGCGCGAGACCTTCATGCGCATCGTGAGGAAGAAGTACTGGGACCTACTTGCGCCAAAGTCTGGGTTTCAAGGGATTTAGGATATGATTCCCAAAACCCTAAACCTAAACCCTAAGCCCTAAACCCTAAACCCCAATCCCCAAACCCTAAACCCTAAACCGGATCTGGGGTCTGGAGTCCTACTCTCTAAGATACAGGATTTATCGGGTTAGGGTTTAGGGCCTACAGCAACGATGGGGCTGAGCCCCAGGTGTGCTCGGATCTTCCACACAGATAAGAGCCTGAACTTGGTTTCCTGGGTTTCTTATCATAGTTGTAACGTGCGTAGTGTAATGATTCAGGTCCTTACATGATACACTAGCTGAGACTCTTCCTAGTATGATAAAAATCCTGCATGACCCCATAATAAGGAATATGCTCATAATTCCCATAGTTTAGTGTCCTTAAGGTAGTGCTACGGATTTATATCATCAACAGTAGTATGATACCAGTGAAAGATATACTCCTCGATCCAAGTACAGTGGAAGATCTGGGTAATGTAGAGATCTGAACCGTTAGTATTTGGGTTCGAGGATGAAATCTGAAAGGCCCCCTGACACGAGGGTTTTTTTCGGGTTTAGGGGACCCTCCCTATCTTCAATCTACTACCCCTATACAAACCCCAGAGAGAACCCCCCCAGGCTGTATGAGAGCCCCAGAAAGGCCCCCCCGGACCTGGTACACCGCATTTTTCCAGCCTGGTAAATGTAGCGACTGAGGCCCCAAATACCATCTTCCCGTACATGAAATCCGACAAAAAAAGCTTGCAAATTCTCCATCGAAGTCGAACCCCCCCCCTTTTGTAACCTCGGAGGACCTCATTGAATCAAGGCATCTTCCGAAGAAGTCGCCGGCTGCCCTGAAGCTCCTCGTGGTTGGTTCCGGTAAGCGTCCGTAAAAAGCCTGGGTTTTTGGAGTTCCAGGTGTAGGTTTTGGGGATCTTGTGTGTGGTGTGTGAGGCCGAAGCTCCTAGGTAGTATTAGGGAGACCCCTCAAAGGGGACCCTTCTGAACCCTACTTGTGGCTCTCTTAAAGGGGACCTTATTGAGAGGGTCTATATCCCCAAGGGTCCCCCTAATCCTAACTCCCAGAAGCAGTTTTAGGCAGTTGGTGACTTCAGGCTCCGAGCGCTTTAGAGTTTGGGCCTACGGTTGATGATAGAAATCCTGGCGTTACCCCACAATAAGATATATATATATATATGTATGTATACATATATATACATATATATATATTCATAATTCCCATAGTTTAGGGTCTTCAAGGTAATGCAGGATTTATATCATCAACTCCTAAACCCTAAACCCTATAAACCCTAAACCCTAAACCCCTGAACCCTATTTAGGAATTGTATATCATCGACAGTAGGAGTTTGGGGTTAAGCGTCCTTGGGGTGTGGATCTCTGGTAGAAGGTCGAGGGCAGTGTTACTGTGGGTAGTTCTCTAAATTAGGGTGGGTTTAGGGTTTAGGGGTTTAGGGTTTAGGGTTTAGGGGGGTTCTTTTTACGATTTTGGGGGCTGAAAACGGGCCCTAAGGTAGCGAACTCCCCATGCGTATTTCAGACAAGTTGCTCGTTGTTGGGTTGGCGGCAGATAGTGGAGCCTTCTAAGCACAGCGTGAACCGCATGTAGCCCTCTTGCAGAGAGAGACATTGTAGAACCACCTGCACAGCTGCTAGACCCAAGACTGTAAATCCTGAATCCCAAACCTTCAACGACAAGCATCTTCCAGCCCTACTGTTGATGATGTAAATCCGGCATTACCTTAAGGACCCTAAACTATGGGAATTATGAGTAAATTCCTATCATCAACCGTAGTACAGGGGCTTCGGAATCATGAGTCCTAGGTAGTATTAGGGAGACCCCTTAAAGGGGACCCTTCTTAGCCCTACTTCTGGCTCTCTTGAAGGTGACCTTACTGAGAGGGTCGATATCCCCAGGGTTCCCCTAATCCTAACTCCTAAGTAGGAATTTGTGGCGACCTAGCTGGCCAGGGCTTTCAATTTATTCAATTTACCAGCCCCGGAGCCCTGCTCGAAGAGTTAAAGCCCCCAGAGTAAACCTTATGCTAACCCTTATCGTAACCCTTCTCACCGCCCGAAGACCTAACTGAACCTTACTCGAAATTTGCGTCCAAAGATCTCTTAGTACTCCCTAAAGATCCCTTCTTCATGCTTACAGACCCCTTATAAATCACGATAGATGCCTTCTGAATCCTCCATAGTTCGCTGATACAGCTTCACTGAGTTCTTATAAATCCCTATTGGGTAGGGGTTTAGGGATCTAGGTTTTAGCGTTTATAGTGATGAGGGTCGTTCCTCTAATATAGGGGCCTTAAGAATTACCCATACTGCTATACTAGTTTGGGGGGTTCCTCATTATAATTCTAGTATACTGTACCCCAAAACCCTATTCTAAGTCTTAAGGCCTCTCTACTTTATGCATCTTAAACACAGTCGAGGCTTCTAGATTCGCTCGCTGCCGCTTTGAGCGACACAGACATGGAGCTGCACGACTGGTCGCTGCTGCAGGACTTTCGTCAAGAGGGTTTCAGTAGGCTTGAAGGTTGAAGGTTTAGGGTGCAGGGTCTGAGGGTTAGGGGTTTTAAGGTTTAGGGTTTTGGGGTTTTAGGGTTCAGGGATTTAGGGTGTAGGGTTGAAGGTTTAGGGTGTAGGGTCTGAGGTTTAGGGGATTAGGGTGGAAGGCGAAGCCCCAAAACACCGTAAAGCTTAACACCCGAGGTCTAGAGTTTTGAAGGTTTGCCTCACGTACATCCGTTAAACAGGATGCCATCCAAGCACAAGAAGTCCCTAACGAATCAACAGGAGGAGTTGCCGAAGGAGAGCGTCTTGGAGAAGATTGTGAGATTTCTGGACGCGATTTCCCCGGCTTGCTGCAGTTGGATTCATGACTGGCACTTGGGCTGGAGTGTGCAACATGAGCTGGACTCTTACATAGCCGTCGTTTCGTTCATCACGGCGCACCATCATGCACAGTATGCGCTCGCGGACATGCTCGGCGAGAAGGACACCGCCGAGGACGTCACTCTGATGCTGGAATCCAGCCGTCAAGTCCGTGATGCCCAACTACATTTGAATATGATTGGTGGCGAGGATATCAATATATTCAACAACTCGATTGCAGCTCAAAGAGCAACAAGAGAGCACGTTTGAGCTTTCCTTCTTCAGTTTTGCAGCCACATGAACAGAGGGCCAGTTCTCTACACCCCGAAAACCCCAAACCCAAAAGCCCTAAACGTTTCCGCTTGAGGTGAGCGAGCTGATTATCCAGAGAGTCGCGGAGTTCATCCACCAGTTTGCGCACCAAGGTTTGATCCTAGGTCACCCCTTATCGCAAAACTTTCGTTGGCGGGTCTCCTTCTTGATTAACATCGTAGCATGAACAAGAGGTGCATGCACCGTAAGCCCTAACCCGTAAACCCTAAACCCCTCAACCCTAAACCCTAAAGGGCCCCTAAAAATGGAACCTAAACCCTAAACCCTACGCCCGAAACGGCCCTAAACCCTGTTACAAAAATGCTCGGGAGCCGAGGATTACCAACCCTAAACCCTAAAGGGCCCCACAAACAAAAAGAACACCTAAACCCTAAAGCCTGAACCCCTAAACCCTGAACCCTAAAGGGCCCTTTAAGAAAAGTAAAAGCAAACTAAACCCTAAACCCTAAAACCCTGTCGGGAACCGAGGATTACCGAGGTCGAGTCGAAGAGCATGCTTCGGCAAATCAAGGCTGCCGGCATCGCTTCCCACACACACATGAGGACCCTCAGCGCCCATGGAACTCAAGGGTTTCGGGCTTTAGGGTTTAAGGGTTTAAGGGTTTCGGGTTTCGGGTTTAGGTGGAACCCGTCTAAAAACGCCCTCTGAGCCCCGGAGCTTTGAAACCACCAAACCCCAAACCCTAAGCCTATGTACATCCTAAGCCTAAGCCCAAAGCCCATGTGACAACCCCAAACCCTCAACCCTCAACCCCAACCCCTCAACCCTCGACCCTAAACCCCTTAAGCCCTCAACCCTCAACCCTAAACCCCTAAACCCTAAACCCTAAACCCTAAACCCCTAAACCCCTAAACCCAAAAACCCTAAACGTCGGACCCTCAAGCCCTGAGCCTCCCCAAGGAAGCGGATGAAGACCCTAAACCCTTAACCCCAAACCCTTAAACCCTAAAAACCTTAAAAACCCTTAAAAAAGGAAGCGGATGAAGACACCAAACCCTCAACCCTGAACCCTGAACCCTAAAAAAGAGGAAGCGGATGAAGACCCTAAGCCCTAAACCCTAAACCCTGAACCCTGAACCCTAAAAGCGAGGAAGCGGATGAAGACCATGAAGAGCTGGCGAGAGGAATCCATGAGCCCCCAGACACAGCGGAGCGAGTCCGTACTTCTGGGACGGACGGCAAAGCCGAGCTCCCAGGACCGTCCCCAACAACCCTCTCAAAGCCTTTCCGGGTGTAGGCTTTAAGGGTTTTTTGGGTTTTGGGGGGGGGTTCTCAGGGGTTTGGAGGTTTAGGGTTTCGGGTTTAGGGGGTTTTAGGGTTTTAGGGGTTTAGGGGTTCAGGATTTAGGGATTAGGGCTTGAGGGGTTTAGGGTTTAGGGTTTAGGGTTTCAGGGTTTTAGGGGTTTAGGGTTCAGGGATAAGGAGTTCAGGGGTTGGGGGGTTTGGGGTTCCCAACCCCCTGAACCCCTAGACCACTAAACTCTAAACGTCCTGAAACCCCAAACCCCTAAACCCTGAAGGGCGCTTCGAGGCTTTTCGTTGTGGTGTTATTCTGACTATCAATACCTTTAAAGTTGTGTTCATCCGCACTGCTTTTTTGGGTGATAACCATGATGATCAATACACCCCAAACCCTAAACCCCAAACCCTAAACCCCAAACCCTAAACCCTAAACCCCAAACCCTAGTATTACAACAGCTCCGCGCAGGAAGAGAAGCCGGGTCAGGAGGCCCGAGTCGTTCTGTGATTTCAGCGGGTTTAGGGTTAGGGTTTTGGCGTTTTGGGGGTTATAGGGTTTGGGGGTTTACAGGGTTTAGGGTTTAGGGTTTGGGTGTTTTGGCGTTTTTGGGGGTTCGGGTTTTGGCGTTTTCAGGCTAAGACTCAGGGTTTTGGGGTTAAGGCTTAGGGCTTTGGGGTTAAGGCTTAGGGCTTAGGGCTTTGGGTTTAGGTTTAGGGTTTTGGCGTTAAGGCTTAGGGTTTTGGGGTTTAGGCTTAGGGTTTTGGCGGGGTTTAGGGTGTTGAGCTGTGTTGTTTTTTGTTGTGCTTTTCGGTTTGGAGTGGGGTTCGCCCTAGCAAGGAATCCGAGACTCTGCCTTTTAACTCTCCATGTTACAAAATCATCAAAGGACGAAAAGCATAATATAATGGAATATCGTAGAATATAGCATGGTATCATATACTATACTTACTATAGAAAAATATACTATGCTATATACTATAGTAGAATGTAAGATAATATAGTAAAACATAGTCTAGTCTAGTCTAGTCTAGTCTAGTCTAGTCCAGTCTAGTCTAGTCTAGTACAGTGTGTTGCAGTACAATGTACAGCAAAACCCTGTACCCCCGTAAGCCTTACACCTTACACTGAGCCCCACAAACCACGATCTTTATGAACAACGTTTCCAAAGCCGTTCAGAAACCTCCTGCACACGTATTAAAGGCACCTTAGGCAACCTTAAAAAAACACCCCAAACCCAAAACCCTAAACCCTCAAACCCCTAAACCCTAAACCCTACACCCCTAAACCCCTGAACGCCCAAACCCTAAACCCCTAAACCCTAACCCTAAACCCCTAAACCCCCAAACCCTAAACCCCTAAACCCCTAAACCCCTAAACCCTAAACCCCTTTTTCAAAAACCGAAAACTCCGAGCCGCGTCCCCAGGAGGAAGGGCTCGAGTCCGTCATCTGACGTGGCCGACCCACAGACAGACTGGAAACCCAGTTAGCAACTGGTCTGCCGAGGGGGTTGTGGTGAGCTATCTGCGCTGCAGGGTGTGCTGTAGGACTGGATGTAGGGCTTTGTTTAGGTTTAGGGTTGAGGGTTGTAAACTTTCCGGGTGGGCGGCACCTTTGTTGCAGAGGTTTCCGCAAGAAGACAGCGGTGTGTCTTTTGGCCTATAGCTTCAAAACGGAATCAGGTGCGGCTTTCAACCTGACTAGAATCCTGTGCGAGCCCCGACAGTTTTCCCAAACCCTAAACCCCAAACTCCAAACCCCAAATCCTAAACCCGAAACCCCAAACCCGAAACCCGAAACCCTTAAACCCTAAACCCTCAGCCCAAAACCCTGAACCCCCAACCCTAAATCCCTAAACCCTCAACCCTAAACCCTAAAACCCTAAACCCTGAATCCTAAACCCTAAACCCCTGAAACCATAAACCCCTGAACCCTAAATTCGTATGCTCGTCTCAGAATGCCTCCTTGTCGGACATGGCCAGCCAGGCCCGAGAGAAATGGATGCCGACAGGAAGCCAACATCGGGGGCCCCAAGGGGCTCTAGGTTTCATAGAGGTTGATGATGTAAATCCTGCATTACCCCATAATAACGAATATATGCCATATAGTTCCCATAGTTTAGGGGTCCTTCAGGTAATGCTAAGGATTTATATCATCAACAGTAGAGGCTGTGCAGGGTGTCATATAAGGGGGTTATACAGGCTTTCAATGGGTCTTAGGAAGGCTCCAGTGGGGGTTGCGGGTTGGGATTTGAGCCCCGTGGCTGGCCCACAAGCCCTTGTCGATAAAGCGCCCCGTGGGTTTTTGAGGGGCTTAGCCTTGTAAGGGAAGGGGGATTTCGCCAGCCCTCCAAACCCCCAGCCATGAGCAGAAATCCCCAAAACACGGAAGGCTTGACCTCTGTCTTGAAACCCCGCCGAAACAGGAGGGAGAATCATCGTACCGACAATACTGACAATAGAAGAGCCTCCTTCTACTGCTTTGCCCAGTGGCTTCTTTCGGCATCCTGGTGCGACCATTCATAGCGAGTCTTTGAAGCTGGAGGAGGTGTCTGTGGGCTGTTGGATTTAGGGCTTCGGGCTTTCGGAGTTGGAGGCTCCGGAATTCGACGGCCCGAGTTAAAGCCAAAAACCCTCCAAAAACCCTACAGCTTAGGGCTTTCGGGGTTTTAGACTTTGGAGAAAGACTTCGGAACTTGGCGCAATGATGGCCGAAATGAGTCGGGTAATATGGAGGCCTTAAGAAATACCTCTACTCTTTTGGGGGCTCCTTATTACAATCATAGTATACTATGCCCCCAAAGCCCAACTCTAATTGTTAAGGCCCCTTATATTAAAGATGCGCGTCTGTCAGGAGTGGATTGGGGCATCCTCGGGTTTCGCGCCTGGAGGTTTTGCAGCCAAGGTTGAGGGCTTTGAGGGTTTAGGGTTTGGGGTTGTTAGGGTTTAGGGTTTAGGTTTTAGGGTTGAGGGCTTTTAGGGTTTAGGGTTTAGGGTTTAGGGACAAAGCCACCTCCTCTCATTGCAGCGCAAGAGCCGCTGCGTTTTGTTTTGGGCACAGCATGTGATATGCAGGCCATCCAGCACCACACCAGAGCAAGATTCTTTGGGCAGTTTACGGCACCCTTATAAACAGGACCTGAAAAGGGATCCTGATTTAGAGAGCTACTCATATAAGCGATTACAAGGAAACCAGTCAAGACAACAAGCAATCACCCTGATGAACCACTCCATCATTCAGTGTATCCTTCTCTCTGTCAGCCAGTGTTTCTGTTGGCGTACCTATGTATGCACGTAGATGCGGTGTAAGCATATCGTGCATGTCAGTGTGTGTGTGTGTCTGATGGTGTGCAAGTACACAAGCAAGTATACATGCATGTCAGTATATATGGCATGCATGCATGCATGCATGGATGGATGGATGGATGGATGGATGTATGTATGTATGTATGTATGTATGTGTGTATGTGTATGTACTAATGTATGCTGTATGTATACATGCATGCATGTACGCACACACACACACATGTGTGTTTGTAGGCGTGCGTGGTGTGTGTACATGCAAATAAACAAACAGGTGGTCACTGGACAGCTACTTAGCACCAGGCAAGTAGAATATCCAACGATATAAACAGTACATCAGTAGAAGATAGATAAAGCTGCCCATTGTGAAAACAAATTGTTACATAGTTAGACACATGCACACACACAGAGGCACAGAAAGGGCTCTATCAGGGAATTTGGGGTTCAGGGTTTGAGGGTACAGGGTTGCACTAGTTGTTCAGAATTACTAGCTGGGCAGTACAGGTTCCATTACATACAATCCCAAATGCAACCTCTGCACTCCTACACAAAGTCCCAAACCTAATCCTGTGCAGACCTTACTCCAAGACGTTATTGGCATACTACACCTGAGTTTGAGAGATATTGCGGTTGCAAGACCGATGTCCTGCACAGTGCCCCATGCTGCAGTTTAGCTTTTCACATGCTCTTAGCCCAGCGGCCGTACGGCAATACAACATGGCCGGGGTCCAGCTCAGCAGGCTCGTCGAGACTTCGCTGCCTGCGGAAACTTTTGACTTGTCCAGTTTTTGGATGCGGAGTTCTTTCAAAATATGGGGCCGGGCCCAGGTAACGGTAACATGGATTCTAGGCAAAAAAGGGTTCCTTGTACGTGAGGGCACGGGCAGAGGAGTCCTAATTTTGAGAAACTCCAGCAGCAGTCCGCATAGCTTGACTGGGTTCTTGTTAATTTAAGTTACCATAAATAAGGAAACCATATTATTTACTATAGATCCCTATTCTGGTAACTTAAATTTAGTCCCTTAACAAGAACCCAGTTGAGGGCCGTCTAGATCGCCTCTCCACCCTCTGCGGCCCGAGGTGGCATGACAGCAAGATTGCATGTTTCAGTGCCTATGTAGGGAAAGCGCTTCCGCCATCGCAGAGACAGTCTTCCTGCCCCCTCATAGAGGTTCTGATAGTTCATTCCCCAGGCCCTCCAACTGGTACTTTCACACGAGTGACCTGTTTCGGAGAAATTCGGAGAATTCCTACATGGGTCATTTTGTGCATGCCTCGACCCTCCCTGATGGAGCTGTTGGAGACGTGCTCCTTGCTCGAGGCTCTGCCGCACGGGTTAAACATGGCGAAGAGTATAAGACAGGTAGCCAGATACATAGCAGGACATAGGATGACTGGCACAGTTGTGCATCTTGATCGAACGATGCTAGCTTTGCTGATCAAAACGTTAATTCCAGAGCATTCGTAAACAGTAGTGGACGTTGAAACATAGTTGTGACGCAATTGTGCCAGCGATGGTAGCAACGACAGTGACAGAGCAGCAGCTGGTTCAACAATCTTGGCCATGTAAAGACGGCTTGCAGTTTCATGGTTGCAAGAGTGACACCAACTCCTACAGTGCATGTATGTGGTATCTAACGATAGTGTTGACGACGA